TATAGTATTAAAACTCATTAATCTCAAACAAGTAATTTGATCCAACTAAGACAAACATGCACATTGATTTCAATACTCGTGTTTTGAATCAAGCCACATCTTACGATGTATGTTAAAGGTAAAATTTTACATCAAATAATTAAATATATTAAACAAAATATAGCATTTTAAACTACTTATAAGATTGACCTTTTAGAATGAAACCTTAAGTCATAATCATCGTGCTAGTCCTTGAACTTGTTCCTCGATTGAGAAAATGACGTGACAATATTTGATTACCTCTAATAACTAGATATATTAATCAACATATAACCAACACACATGTTTATATTACTCTTAATAAAGTTGAACTTTTAATATAAAACTGCAAGTATATTATTAATAGCCGTGCAGGTACTCGAAGCTTGTTCCTCAATTGAGAAGATGACACAACAGCGTTCAGTTACCTCTAAGAAACCCAAAATCACGCAAACAAATCCTTTTTGAAATGCTTATAACTTATTTAAAACTGTGCCTTTTTCCTGTACTTATAAATCAATTTACCCCTGTCCAAGCATCAACAATGAGTTTTTTTCACTCAATAATGTCTTCTTGACCTTCAGACGAGTTTCTGATCCTCAGGCTTTATCTAAGTCTACGAATTTATCGAAGAGACTGGAAAGAAAAAGAAACATCCTGGAAGTTCATTTACATCACCTTTCCTTTTCTCACAAAATAAACATAAAATTCAGTGACGTTTGTAATCACAGTAACGGCGAGAGGTTGAAAAAGATCAAACATCAGCACATGAGGTCTAATGGGAGTTTCTAATTAAGCACATTGAGTTATTTTGTTCATCATGTCTTTTGAGAAGTCGGCATTGCCAAGGACACTCCAGCACTGCTTGGTAGATCCTTCCATTGTTGAGTAACTGTCTTAATCTGTGTGAAAAACTGAACGCCTGCCTTGCCTGAAATCATCCACGTCAACAAAAGGAAGTGAAAAAGATTAACATAAGACGTAAAATTTCCAGTTTGCAAGATCAGAAACTTGCGCTTTAGTGTTACATGAATTGCTTTATCAAAAACACCGGAGAAAAATAAAATTACCCTCTGAAGTTTGTTTGAAGTAAATGGGTAGAGTTTATGGGGGAGATTATTTACCGTAAAAGTTGAGATCCCCAGCAAAAGAAGCTTTGGAGCCAGTAAATGAGAAGAAGGGTAAAGGAACTGGAATTGGAACATTGATGCCAACCTGAAGTCGGAGCCACTTCAAGTCAGAAACAGAAACTTAAAACTTTAAATACAAAAATAGGGAAAACAATAGATGAATTTTGTTCCTGGGAAGCAAACTTTAACTAATCTGAAAGCTAATCCCAAATCAATAAATTCTATTGATACAAGTTCCAGTAGACTAGATATGGGAGGTAGCCCGAACAAAATGATGCAAATTTCTAAATTTAGGCTCATTAGCATTTCCCAGAAACTTTCTATTTTTAAAGAGCATATTCTATCATTTGAAGAGTACCTATAAATCTAAAGTTTTAAAATTTTGAAGTATTCAAACAAACTCTTCATATTCAACACCTACTTATACTACTCCCAAAAAATATTTATTATTTTTCTACCTTTTATTTTAATTAGCTTTTCTTTAGATTATTTTATTATTTTCCTACATTGAAAATCGAAAAACTTTGAATGCATTTAATTATAAAGACAATTTGGAGAGTCAAACCCACTCTCTAAATT